GGTAGGGCAAATAGGGAGATGCGGTGGAGGAAACATCGAGAAGGAGCGGAGGGATTAAACTAAGTCAATAAGTAGATATACCACCAAGGATCCGACCACGTTGTTGTTTCCCTGTTGAACTAAAGAGGATAAATCAATGGTGGTTTGGAGTAGCAGGGGTGAGACGACCGAAGTTATAAACCAATTATACCAGAAAACAGGAAAAATAAGATGAACGTATGCGAAAATTTACCTTACAGAGAGAAAGACGGATGTGGATGAAAGAAAGCAGGGAGCAGAAAGAAGAAAGAAGGAGATACAGAAGAGAATGAAGTTAAGGAAAGAAAGAGAAATATCCATTAATTGACACGTAGATCCGAGTATACGAATAAAGGATCAAGCATTGGACACGTTGAAAGCGGTTGAAAATTTTTACAAAAAACCCTCTCTAATTAAATTAAATGGAGAGAAAATTGGTAACAAAATTAGAGGGACCATAGTTGAAATCTATCAGTTTACTGTTGAAATCTATCACAACTTTTATATATATATATATATATATATATATATATATATATATATATATTAATAATAAAAATAAATATTGAAGTCTGACCGCGAAATTACTGTTCGCATGCAAAGAAACCTTTTTTCTTTTGTTAGTAATTAGGTGTGAGACCCGTGTATTACACGAGTTTATTAAAAATAAAATTTTAATATCAATATATAAATATGAAATATTTTATAATGTAATACTTTACATAACAAAATATAATCTTCAGAAAATATGTAAAAGAAATTAAATTGTTTAAAGTATTTATGAGAATTTATTACCAAATTAAAATAATGATTTTTTTCCTTATAGAATCCATCATAATTATATGGAATTTTATTTTAAAAAAATTGAAATCCTTAAAAAAATAAGAAGTGAAAAATAAAATTTCTAAAATTCTCACAAAATAACAAGTGTCAAAATGAATGAGAAGGTGATATGTGGTAAAAAAAAATCTTCATTTAAGAATCTTGAAAGACTACTTTCACACACACATAAAAACAAAGAAGGGTTTATATTGTTAAAATAAAATGTTACACTAAAGATATTTTACCAAAAAAAAATTATATGATTTAAAATGAAAAAAAAAAATGTCTTCATTACTCAGCCCCATCCCATTTAACAACCCATATATCCATTTTGCAGCCCATGAACAATTTCGCACGAAATTTATGAGGTATTTCTTTGAGGCTAAAAAAAAATTATGAAAATTAATCAAATATGTATTTTTCTCATAATAAACTTCAACAAAGGAAGACGAAGCCAACAATTATAATACGAATCACTTGCTAATTACATTAATATTAGACAAAGTTATCATTTTTGTTCCTATTATCCTTCTACATATTTTAGATGACGACAATTATCATTACATTTAATTTAAATTTGATTGGGATCTTAAATTTATATATTTGTCATCATCTTAAATATGTATAAATAGGTATGAAGAAAAATATAAACAAAAGTTAGGAGGATATTTAATTTCTCAAACAATGAAATTAGAAGGATATTTAATTTTTCTATTAAACAAAATGTTGTAGTTATAAATATAAAGGGTTAGCATTGCAATGTGTGCCTATGATCAGGACCCACTAAAATCTATGGGCTAACTTTATTTTATTCTTTTGCGTTGTGTGTTATTATTATTATTATTTTAGCTTAAATCATATTAGGTTAAGAATATATCAGCCGTCAGGTGAGAATAATCAGAATCGATGCAAGATGATGAGTATGAATCATAATTTTTTCGAGAGAAGTAAACATTGCTTTGGTTCCTACATTCTCATTGATTCCTGATGGCTAGTGAGTCGTCTAGACTCCATGGAAGCAATGATCTCTTTGCTTCCTTCTTCATAGGCTCTGACTTCTTATTTCTTACCTACTTCTTTATCAATACTAAAAAATTAATGAATCACAAACAAATCGGGAAGCCTTATTACTTCAAAATCCGAAAATCAGAACTTCACAAGAAAATTGACGTTTATTTCAAAAATCAATAAACAATAATTCAAAATGCATAAGGTATGTTTATTCCTCATAATTCCTTTATAAGAACTTAAGAAGTAAATAAGTTTTTTTTTTCTTTCATTCTTTCTCAAATTCCGAAGCTTTGAGGTTTCGAAAATCAAAGCCAATCAAAATTTAATAAGAAATCAATCCTCTTGAGATGTTGAAAATATGAAGGTTTATTCATAATTTTTTATCAAAACATTTTCATTAGAAGCAAATCAGAGTATTTCTTTTCTAAGAATGTAATATAAGATTTTTTTATTATCAAAAGCAAATCAAAGTATTTCTTTTCTGAGAATGTAATATAACTTCAAATTTATGATTTCTTTTTTGTAATATGATTTTTACTTTCTAATTTAGGAGAAAGTAATAATGACATAATGTTGAGTACATTGGTGTTATACTTTACTACTTGATTCTCAGAATCTAGAACCAATAAGGAAATCTACAAATTGTTTGCCACGATTGAAAGCAACATTTTGGATAACGTTATTTATGAAGGTGTTATTGAAAAAGTTTGTGTCAATAGATATTATTGATGAAGGTGTTATAGAAAAAGTTTGTTTCAATAGATATTATAATTATTTTGTATGATAAAATTAATTTATGTATTTTGCAAATTGTTTTGCTTAAAATTTTAAATCTTTCAAGGTTTAGGGTCTATATTTTGTTAAATTGCACAGGGCCTCCAAAATCTCGAGGCTAACCCTATAAATATATATTAGAGTCAGATGTCCGTCAATGATTTTGAGTAGTTGATTATGTAATTCCTAATCTCATTCAATGAAAACAATTTGAATTTACCATCTAAAATTCTATCTTGTTAATTTCACACAAAAAATAAGGAATAACACGTTTATCATTTCAACTTTCTAAAATTCTCATGTTGTTCACGTGCAAATCATGAAATAACTATCAAATAAAATTCAAAACACAAAAAAACATATGAATAACATGTAAACAAAGGATCTATCTGAAATCTAAATAGCTTTTTGAAGATAAAACTTTTTCTTTCATTTGCACACCTTTTTTCTATTTCATGTTTCAACTATGCTATAAAAGTCTCTGAAGGCATTTGTAACTCATCATACTATTTCTTCTTGTTTCCCTAATATGAATATTCCCGGAGTAGATAGGTTTGAAGAGTTATCAGAAAGGTTAGGAGATACTATAAAATCTTTGGCAGATAAACCCTCGGTGGGGCTTTTTTATATTCAACAACACACTCACAAGGCAACACCAAACATCATCAATCTCAGAAACAACATTGTGTGTAAATCTCATGAAATAAGGGTACACATACAAGATGCAAAGGATTCAATCCCAATGGTGAGATCAATGAAGCAATATGGATTCCCAATTGTCGATGACATGATTAAAGACATCACAAAATCTTTAGCTATCATGTCAATAAAAAACCAAAACTGAATTTTGATTAGCAGCAAATTAGTATCATGATTTCAAACAGGAAGAACCATGTGTATATAGATCCTTCAGAGAGATTGTTGTAATAAACTATACAACCATGTGTGGGGATCCTTTAATTATAAAGATTATGTAAAGAGAAAGTTGACAACCCAACAATTATAATGAATAATTCTAGTTATAAAATGGTAGGAAGTTATGAATGAGGAATTATGGGTCTTGGAATTAAATAAAATGGTAGATTGTTCTACTTCTGGTTGTTTGAAAGGATCTTAAGATCAAACAAAAGGTTGATAGATCAATTGAATGTTACAAAGTTATAAGGTTAGTTGCCAAATGTTTCAATTAAAAAGAAGTTGTTAATTTTCTTGATATATTCACCAGTTACCAAACTTTGTACTCTCAAATTTTTGTTACCACTAGTATCACCAATTTCTTGGCCTTTATTACTATTAGATGCCAGTAACACATTTCTGAAGGGAAACCTTGATGAAGTAGTGTGAATGAAATTACCAAAGGTGATATGATTTTCAAGGGAATGGTTCTTCAAATGTCCCAATAGTATGCAAAAAAACAAAAATCTCTATTTGGATTATGTTACACATTAAGGCAATATTATGCAAAGTGTCCATCTTTCTTAATTTCAACGGGTTTTACTCAATCAAAGGCAAATGATTTTTTATTTCACAAAGGACAAGGACCTAATATCAATTTTCTTGTGTATGTGGATGGCATAGTCCTTATCTGGGCTTCTTTAAACGAGATTAACAATGTTAACTCACATTTAAATAATGAAATCAAGTGTAAAGATTTAGGTACATTAAATCATTTTTAGGTCTTAAAAATGCTCACTCAAAGGATGGTTCTTCATTTATCAACATCAATATACATTCATTACAAGTTCTTAAAGATATTGGGATGTTAGTTGCTAAACTCGTTCAATATCATAGGGATCCTAAATACATATCACTGATATTTGAAGGTGAACTTTTGGATGATAAACCTCAGTTTAATTGATTGATAGGATGATTAATGTATCTCCCCTTTAAGAGACCTAATATAACTTATGGTGTTCGTCGCCTTAGCCAATATGTTACAAATCTTCTTTTTCTCCCTTTATGATGGGAGCCTAGCGGTTGATGCGTTGAATTCCATAAAAGATGTTCACAATCTGAACCTTGCACACCCACATATGACTAGTTCTTTGTGATTACTACAAGGTGTGGTTTACCCTTTTTACAAATCCTTGTATTCATTACATGAACGATATCAATTATTAAGGTTTTAAAATTAAATCTAAAAACAAGGCTTATTATATTCCATTGGACCACCATACAATCTTTAAGGCTTAAATCATTTAGTGATTGTGATTGGGCTGGTTGCCCTAATACTCGTCGCTCAAATCATACAACTTAACTCATTTAGTGACTCTAATCGGGTTGGTTGCCCTAGTATACGTCCCTAAGTGGGTTTTTATGTTTTTTTCTTAGGTAATCATTAATTTCTCGAAAATCAAATAGACAATCAATTGTATCTCATTCATAAGTTGAATATCATGCAATTGTCATTGTAACCAGTGATTTGGTTACAACATTTACACATTCATCATGATCTTACTCTCATATAATACTTATGTCATTCAACCAAATTTTAAATCCAACATTTCATGAACAAACAAAGCACATCAAACTTGATTGTCACTTTATACATGGTAAAGTTCTTGATCATACCATTAAGACGATGCCAATCCATCACCAATTTCAACTTCGTGACACTTCTACTAAATTGGTGCCTCGTAATGTTTCCAATTATATCCAAAATAGCTCTTTAAAGCTTGGTCGAATCGGTTAAAGGGTTATTTCGCTCAAGTTTGGTCCAATTGGTTAATTATAGATGAAATAATAATTGAAGTACATATTTTAATATTTAATAATATACACACCAATATACGACAAACACAATGTTGTTCCAATTATCACAGCAACCGAACAATTTATTGATTATACACTTCTTGTGATGGAATAGACAAGGGCCAACCCCATCGTGATCAACACATGACCCCAACAAAAATTAAGAGTAACAAATATCCTATGTCCCCTAAACAAGTAAAAAACTCATTTTTAGACGTATAACTCGCTCATTTTTTATTAGCATATGTTTATTTAATTTCTCTTTCCCTTTTACATAAACAAAAACCTTTACAAAATTATCTTGGACTACCTAATCTTAATGAGTTTTTACAATGTAATTGTTAACACAACAGTGTTCTGATGTTCACAACAACCGAACTATTTATTGACTTACAACGGTTATTATACCTTCTTCCCAATACACTTCTCATGATGGGATATAGACACGTGGCCCCATATGTTTTTTTCATTTCAAAACATTTTTTTTGTCACCATACGTTTTTTTTTTCTCTTAACATTTATTACAACTTATATTTTCATTTATGCAAATGGAAACCAAAAGTAACAAATACACATCAACAATAACAAGTAAAAGAAACTAAATAAATACATTTTTTTTTTTACAGATTTACAGCAAATAAATAGACAGCAAGTCACTGTAGAAATTTAATAACGGTCGTTTTAATTCACGTTGAAAATTTATACAGTGACTCATTGATGACGTGATTTTTCACAATAAATAACAAGATATAATAATAGAGTATTAAATTAAAAGTAAAATTAAAATTAAAATTAAAGTATATCTGTATAAAAGGAATGAAAAGATACATACTTGAAGATTAGACCCATCAAGAACTTATTAGGTTTGTTCCAGCCCATGACAGCTCAGCATCTCCTATATTTAGATAAAAGCAACACATTATATAAATATAACAAAAAATTTATATCCAAAATTTCTTCTTTTTATCTCATAGTAATCTCTTTTTAACTGTTGTGAAACAAAATGACCATTTTACCCTTGATAAAGGAAAGAGGCACTTACATGAAAACTTTTCCAAGGTGGCAAATTTAGTGTTCATCTAGCTAAAGTGATCCTTTTGCGTTTATTCGACATTGAAAAAAAGAATTGAGTCCAAGATTTCTTCTTTTTGATTGGTTGAATCTTCTCTTCCACCTTCTCATGGAGTTCATTCAAGTACAAGATAACAGCCTGAACAACAACAAGTATATGTAAATTACCAAATTACCCCTTTTGATTACACAAAATAATAATATTCATTTACCTGAGCGCCTTTATCAAGAACATGTTTTGGTGGAACTTCTAAAGGATTCCCTTCAGTTTTCAAGATTCTTAACTTTGATAACATCCTAAAAGAATCTGGAAAGATTCTGATTTGATTGTTGCTCATATCCAACTCTTCCAAATTCTCAAGGTTACCAATTGACCTTGGTAAAGATCTTAAGTCAGCAAAGTTGTTGCTGATGTTGATTTTCTCAAGGGTAGTAGCAAAACATAAGCTTTCAGGAACTGATTCGAGTTCATTGAAACTTACATTAAGCTCTTTTAAACTTATCAGTGATGAAATTGTAGTTGGTAATCTTCCAATGTTATTGTATCGAACAGAAAGGATTTCTAATGACTCGAGTTTTCCTACAGCTTCTGGTAAAGCTTTAAGCTTGTTGTAGTCTGCAAGAAGCGCTTTCAGAGATACACATTGACCAATAACATGTGGGATTTCTTCAATTTCATTGGTTTCGATGTTTAGTTTTTGGAGATTGATGAGAGAACCGATTGATTCGGGGAGAATTGATAGGTTGTTTGAGCTTAAATCAAGTTCTTGGAGGTGGATCAATTTGGTTAATGTAAGAGGAAGAGATGTTAACTGGTTTGCACGAAGATCAAGATGGATTAAATTAAGAAGATCTCCTAAAGATTCTGGGAGTTGGATGAGTTTGTTGGAATGTAAATCTAGTTTTGTTAATGATGAAAGGGCTGATATGGAAGATGGTAGAGAAACGAGACGATTTTCTGATAGATCGAGTGTGATTAAAGTGGAGATCTTCCCTATTGAATCGGGAAGCCATTCGATTTGATCAGTTAATTTGTTGCAGAGATTGAGATCTTTGGTTCCTTTCTTTGAAGAAACTTCGATTAGACTAGCGAGCTTCATGAGATTCAGTTTTGCTTCATTATGGCCTACAAAATGAAACGATGACTTCAGTCAAACTTCAATGATTACATTACCAGAAAGATCTTCAAAGAGAAAAACTCACCGGAAGTAGTTGCAGGTTTTAGAGAGGAATCCACAATCCGGGGCCTGAACACGTCGTTTGATTGAAGCCCTGTTCTTATCACATCGCCATTGAAGATTGGCTTGGATTTTGTCACGTAGCTATCATCTCTAGTCAACAACTCAGAAGTTTTGATTGAAATCGGTTTCGGAGGCAGAGTCACCGTGTGTGGTGAAGCGTTGCTAAAATTTGAAGTGGAGAAGGAAGAGAAAGAATTGCTCGAAGTTGATGCAACTGATTGGGTGCTATTGTCACAACAACTGGAAGCTCTTTGAATCATTTCGTCGAACAGTTGGTGGTAATTTTCGAGATCCAGTAATTTAATCGCTTCCTTCTTTTGTTCTTCACTCTGGAAACGGACGAAATTCTTCTGCATCTCAACCAAAATGGCGAATAATTCTTCAGTAACTTCTTTTCGCTTCTTTTGTCTAACTATGGAATCGAACTTCGCTTGTTCTTCGACCTCCAAGTTTCGGATGAGTATTTTCGCACCTTCAACATCATCAATTCCCGGTCGTGGAGGAAGAGACTTATGAATTCTCATTATCTCTTCCAGAACTTCATCTACTGATTTAGCAGCTGATTCCATATCCAATCTATACAAAAATCACAATTACTATTAACATCCAAAGTGTATATGTAAATATCAATAACGAAATGAAGAAGCAATTACACAAATCCAACAAAATGTACCAAATTTTTGATGTACAACTTCACAGAAGCTTTGTTAAAGTTGATTTTCTCGTCTAGTAACAAAAGGAATCACGTAAACAAACTGAAACCGCCGTCGGCTAGCTTCTAGAACCATTGGCGTTGACAAATTTCCATTTTGCTTCCACTAAACAAACAAATACATTATAATGTCTCTAATAATTGCATTCAAATCTGATTACTTGAAGACAACACAATCATGAAAATCAAGCAGCTCGCCGCCCACAGATCCTGAATATTTAATTCACTTTACTTAAAATTTGGACAAACAAATTAACGAATCATTTATACTGGAATTTTGATGATTCGCATGCAGATTCAAATCTAATAAGAAATGGAAAGAAACCATGAATGAGAGTGGAGTTAAGTTGAATTGACCTTGGAATCTTCTTCACTGGAATATGATTAAGATCGGGAAATAAAGAATGAAAATGGATTTATTTAAATTCGTGGAATGGAGGGGCGGCGGCTACTGTGTGTTAAGGTGAATGTGTGTGAGCTACAAACATAGTCCACACTCCCGGCTATTTCGTATAACAATCCCCTTTTTCAATCTCTAACTTCTTTCTATTTATATTTTTGGTATAAAAAATATAAACTTTTTTAATACAATTTTATATTTTACAATAAGATTACTCCAAAATTAAAGTAACATTTTTTATTTATAATAGGAATAAAGTTGAAGTTTCATTTGCCATATTTGTTTCTTCAACTTTAAATTTATATATCATTTGGATTGTTTGATATATATTTTCACTAGATCTAGTAAGGGTTTTATCTAACCCAATGAAATTTAGAGGTTGATACTATAGTTTCGGAGCATATGATTCAGTCTTATATTCTTTGATATATTTTATACTTTTAATGAATTGATAAGAAGTTGAATATGACTTAATCAAACTTTAACTCAACCAATAACTATCAAATAACCTTAGTTTATCTAATTTGTTTTTACATTTGAGTTTATATATTTTAAATTTATTGAAAAATTTTTATACTTTTTAATAGTTCATAACATAACATATTGACATTCAATAAAAAATAATGCCATACACATAATTAATTTGAATTATTTTTATATAATAATAATTATTATATTTATTTTAATAATATATATATTAAATTTATTATAATAAATGATTTTAGATAAATTTATAAAATAACTAGTAAATTGAAACAGTATTTATGAAAACCTAAAAATAATATATTTGAAATATTTTTTATATAAAAAAATAATAATAAAATATAATGTGATTAGAATTGAACATTAACATTACTTTTAACTTTAAAAATAAAATAATATTGGAGATGATTTAAGACATGGTTTACTAAAACAAACTAAAATTAATTTAGAAAATATAATTTTAAATTATATAAGAGATGGTAAACTCTACACAAAATGGTCCAACATTGACGCAAAATCATACTTTTAAGAGATGATAGTAAAGAATAAATCTTGAATTTAAGAATTTGACCATCTAACAGTAGAGTATAAAATCTTCATTTTAAGAATTTTACCATCTCTTGAAATCTTATTACATAGGCTTTAGACGATTAAACAACACATTAAGGGGTATTTAGATAGGGAAAAAAAGGATGCTTATTGTTTATTCTCACTACAATAAGTTAAGTTTGAGTATTTGAATGTGAATCTTTAAAAATCAGCTTATTGTGGTAGGAATAAGTTAAATAAACTGATTTTAATAAACATTTTCTCATTGCTTATTGCTTATTGCTTATTCCCACCGTAAATAAGGTAATAAGCAATAAGCTAATGAGCTATAATATAATTTATCCAACCACCTCCTAAGTGTTTCGGAATTGGAAAATGACAATTTTTTTTTTCTAAAATGTCTATTGTGAATTATTTATAATCGTTCTGAAGTTGTTGACTTGTTGATGAAATGTCATGTAAAAGTACTTTAGAATTTGACATCATAATGACATTGTACATTTCATATTCACATTAATGCAGCGATAAGTTTTTGTATATCATTTCTTGGTCCATTTTGTAGAGATTATTTTAGAAATTGTTAGAAGAGTTTCACATCTAAAATTCTATTAGTGAACATTAGTATACTTTAAAAAATCTTTATCTTTTGAAGAACACTTGCATATCTCTTATATATATTAGAGGAATAAAGGTCATCTAACTATTTAGTATTGTCTTTGAATGGTCAGAGTGTTTTTGTGATTTCTACAATCAAGTTATAAGCCGATTACACAAGTTTTTCAAATTGGATGATTTGATGGGAAATCTTTTGTTATAAAGGTCATCTAAGCCAATAGTTCTGAGACATAGATGAGATCAAACATGTCTAATTAAATTTGTTATTAGCAATCCCATAAATCGAGGAATTATATAATAAAATATACTTGATAATGAATATCTACCAGGTTGGATTCAAATGAATGAAATAAAAGTCACTTAACCATTTATTTGTTTTGCAACTTGGATCTTAGACTTTGATAATTAATATTTTTAGAAACTAAAATGAAATTAATTATTAAAGATTAAATATTGAAATACTAAATGAATTTTATTAAAATTTTGTACATATAAATAATCCACTCTTATAACCATGAATTGTCATTTTCTTTAAATGACTTAATAATATTCAATAGATACAACTTCAATGAATGAATTCATATCTTGAGAGACAATCTCGTGAGAGATGTGAAATTACATACACTTAAAGGTTCTAGTCCTAAACAATCAGCTTTGAGCAATAGGCCCAAACGTAATACCTAGTAAAGGCATCACTGTGATGCTTAAGATGCTTCTAACATCATACTCGGAATAGTTATTCTTGACTTTCAAGAATTCTTGGATAATTTAGATATATATAGCTGATGATATAATAGGTTAAGCAATATTCCAAAAAAAAAAATACAATGATATTTGTTTTAAACTAGTTCAAACACTTACATGATGCAATGTTGAAAAGATTCATTTTGTGTGATCTAAGAAGCTCATATTTATGGACTGAACACATTTAAGCCCGAGAAATCCAAGAAGGCCCACATATATAGATTTTGTTTCTTTTGTGGAGAAACTAGACACTGGAAGAGGAACTGTTCCTCTTATTTGAAAATAAAGTCTGGAAGAGACTAGTACTTCAGGTATATCTACTAGATATAACTCATAATTTTCATATAACACTCAAGTACTTGGTACTTAAATGTTAATATAATATTTGCAAATGATTTGCAGATATTTATAGAAAAGTAACCAGTTAAGCACAAGCAAGTTGGAACTACACTCTCCGAGTTTATTTTATTATTTATGCTTAGAATATAAATTACTTGTAATATAAAACAATGTTTGTATTAGAACAATATATGTTTTAATTTAGCTTGTCTCTCTCTCTTTCTCTCTCTCTCTCTCTATATATATATATATATATATATATATATATATATATATATATATATATATATATATATATGTCCCAGTTATTTTATTTAAATGTTTGATTATTTACTTGATCGTTTTTCATAACGATAATATTCATATTCCAAAACGATTAACTTCTATTTATGAGACTAGATCTCTTTAAAAAAATTATAAACTAAATATCAATATTTTATAAATAACAAGTTATATATGCAAAGTACTTTTGACTTAAACTTGTTTTAAATCAAACTTATCTATGATATTGTTATCTTTATTATATAAATGACATTCACATAGTCTAACTTCAAGAAATGAATATTTGAAGGCAAATAATGTAGCTTATTTGACATATGTAAATCTTATATATATATATATATATATATATATATACACACACACACACACACATATATATATATATATATATATATACACACACACATATATATATACATATGTGTGTGTGTGTGTGTGTGTATATATATATATATATATATATATATATATATATATATATATATATAAGATTCCTAATGATGTTTTCACTAAACTGTATAGAAAATAATTATTAAGGAACTATACACTATGATAAATGGCTTTCTTTCTAATGAATATCTAAGATTAAGCACCAGATACCAAATCGACTTTATTAATAACTATAATAGTTACAATAATATTTTACATGGTAAAACATAGTTGTGAGAGCTTTTTTTTTGAAGTTTTTAGATGTAAAGTTGAGATATAATCCAGTAACACCATCTAAAGCTTTAAGTGATAATAAGTGATGAGTTAGACCTTACCGGATAAAGTTTACTTTTTAATCGATAGAAATTGTCTTCTTTTATGATCTTGGGATTATACCTTAATCACTATTAATTGTATCTTAAATACAAACACCAACAAATCAAATGTATGTGAAATGTTCTAAAAGGCATTTAGATTATACAAACCTACAAAGAATACGTTCTCTTATTTTTCTAAATGTACAGTTAGTAGAAAGTAAGCTTCTAGTAACAAAGCAAGTGGGAGGCACATGGAACTTGAAGAAGCTAAAGAACCATAGCTTGATATAGCAATTGTTGGCACTAGTTTCAACAAGGAATTGTTGAACTTAAATAATAGCTATTCACAAACTACAATTGTTCGCATTAATGGTAGAAACCATTTTTGACTTGAGAAATGTGAAAACTCTTACTGATGTGTTCATCTTGATGGTTTCTAGCGTATCCATCAACTACAAAGATGTTATATCAAATCTTGAAATTTAATAAATGAATTAGAGTCATGAATATTTACATGTAATCCAATGTAATAATCAAGTATGGGACTGATTAATCTTAATCTCTACAACAAGGCTAAAAGGAGTAAGAGTGTAACACTTAGTTCCTTGTATGTATTTTAATAAGAATTATTCATTTTTGCAAAGGGACTCGATGAGTTGGAGGCCCCAAACTCTTTGAGTAGGAATGAGATTTTTGGATGCGGGACTTGAAGTCTACTCGACGAGTTGAGAAGCCTCAACTAGACGAGTAGAGCTGCCAAAGTGAAACCCTAATTTTTAGGGTTTGCACCCTATTTAAGAACCTTAACACCTTATTGTGGCCTCCCTCATCGCCTCCCTCAGTCCAACAAAAACCCTAATTCGTGATCTTGAGGCTTTTGAGTGTGTGTGTGGGTGAAAATAGAGTGATTCCTTGGTATTTCATTGAAGTAGTGGAAGTTAGAAGTGCTTGGTTGAAGGAAGAAGCTTTGGATCCAGATAGTTCTTTGTCAAAACAGCCTTATTGAGGTACAAAGTCTATACCTTGACTATTCATTTACCAGATCTCTTCATGGAGTAGCTTAGGGCCTTAAGGAACCTATTTTGGAACCGTTCATGGATACAAGCATGTTTTGGAGTCATGACTTCAGATCTAGAACCTTTGAGGGACTCCATGGCATAAAGGTGCCAACTTTATGGCCATGGGAGTCCCATGCAACTTGTGAACCACTTTTTAGGGCCTTTTGAGCTAAATAACCCATGCATGGATGTAAAGTTAGTAACTTTACGTGATATATCGACCTTAGGGAACCATATCTATGATTTGGTTGCATTGAGCCCAACAAAAAGTGACTTAATGGATATAGACTATAGGGGACTC